CACATTTGTATGGCTGGACCATGCTCTAGAAGTAAGTGATTTACCGCAAGGTTTTTTGCACCTTAAAACATCGCAATCCCACGTTTGAGAGGGAATACTACTTTTTAGAACTCTTTTGCTTACTAATGATCAAATTCCTTTTCAGAGAGATATAATTTTGAAGACGATTTCTCACCTAAAGGAAAACAAACACGGCAGCCATGAGCTACCACCCACAAATCTTAAGTTCCAAATGTGGGTAGATGGTTAATGTGAACTCACTAACTGCAAACCACGGTTTGCTGTTTGTGGTAAGATGGCCAAAAGTGCAAACCTCGATCATGAGATGAAAATAAAAAAAATCACTTGCCCTTCGGAAAGCTGTTGCTGAAGTTAAGTTATTTTTGTGCAGTTGTACCAACCCCCGTTTTCAATAACATTTACTTTATCTTGACAAAATATTGTTGCTTGCCCGTTGAACAACTTTTAATCTCACATTTGTATAAGGACTTTGACTTACTTACAAAAATGCCAGTCCTTAAGATACAATGTCTCCGTGCATTTCTCATCACCTGTATAAAAAAACTCTAATAATTATTTTTCAATTTATTTATTTTCCTGCAAAATGTGCATAGTCATAAGACATAACAGTAAACTGAAAAAGATTTCACACATCTGAAGGCATTTGAAAGCAGAAACAAAGTATTGTGACTTCCACGATTGTTTCTGACCTAAAAAATGGACTTGAGCTATAACTCACTGATAGTTACATATTTACAGACATTCTAGAATGACATTATATCATTTTATAGAGTGTTCATGTTGACCTACCCCCTGACTTCTTATTCCAATAATCACAAAACTCTTTTAAAGTCATGTCTTGTTTGACTTGACTGCTGTATTCAGCTTGACAGCAATTTGCTACCGGTGCCACAGCATGACCTAGTAAAGGAATACCCAATATTGTTATTATCAATTTTATCATCATTGTCATCATCGTTGTCCTCATCATTGTTACCATTATCATCTTTGACACTGTCATCATTGCCACCATCATCATCATCATCATCAACATCATCATCATCATCATCATCATCATTGATGTCATTACCACAACCACCACAATCAGCATCATCATAGCGGAGCTCCACCCGCGCGCGAAGCGCGCGCGTGGGCGGAGCCCCATAGGTAAGGAAATGTGGTAATCTACCCATCCAAGAAAATTTGGTAATCACGTGACCGTACGCCCGACCGTCCGTCCGCACCACAGGGCAACCAATGTTTACTGTCATACTTTCTAGCTAGTTTGGAAGCCCAAGAGAAAACTAATTGCACATGATTGCACATCAATGTTTTGATCAATTGACAGCTGTCAAAACAGGGTATCCGCTGACCAGTATCACCTGACCGTACCACGGGCTCAAGTGTTCACCCATCGAGGTCCAGTATTTTTTGAAGTTATCCGCTGGCAAATTACCAGTTTCAAATGATCGTAAGCTCAAGTTTATTTTTTCCAATGATTCATATGAAATATGTTGTGTTTATGTCACTATGGCCCCGCACTGTTAAGACTTTGATTTCAAACTGACCTCGGACGGGAAAATTCAGC